TTGGGATTTTCTCCCTCAGGACTGGGATTTTTCCCTCCATTCTGGGATTTCTCCCTCAGAATTAGAATTTTTCCCTCAGGATTGGGATTTTTCTCCTCAGGGTTGGGATTTTTCTCTCAATTTTGAGGTTTTTCCCTCAGGATTAGAATTTTCCCCTCAGGATTGGGGTTTTTCCCCTCAGGATTGGGATTTTTCTCCTCAGGGTTGGGATTTTTCTCTCAATTTTGAGGTTTTTCCCTCAGGATTAGAATTTTCCCCTCAGGATTGGGATTTTTCCCTCGATTTTGGGGTTTCTCCCTCAGAATTAGAATTTTTCCCTCAGGATTGGGATTTTCCCCCTCAGGATTAGAATTTTTCCCCTCAGCGTTGGGATTTTTCCCCTCAGGGTTGGGATTTTTCTCCTCAGGGTTGGGATTTTTCTCTCAATTTTGAGGTTTTTCCCTCAGGATTAGAATTTTTCCCTCAGGATTGGGATTTTCTCCCTCAGGATTGGGATTTTCTCCCTCAGGACTGGGATTTTTCCCTCCATTCTGGGATTTCTCCCTCAGAATTAGAATTTTTCCCTCAGGATTGGGATTTTTCTCCTCAGGGTTGGGATTTTTCTCTCAATTTTGAGGTTTTTCCCTCAGGATTAGAATTTTCCCCTCAGGATTGGGATTTTCCCCCTCAGGATTAGAATTTTTCCCCTCAGGGTTGGGATTTTTCTCTCAGTTTTGGGATTTTTCTCTCAAAGTTAGAATTTTCCCCTCAGGATTGGGATTTTTCCCTCAGGATTGGGATTTTTCTCCTCAGGATTGGGATTTTTCTCCTCAGGGTTGGGATTTTTCTCTCAATTTTGAGGTTTTTCCCTCAGGATTAGAATTTTCCCCTCAGGATTGGGATTTTTCCCTCCTCAGGATTAGAATTTTTCCCCTCAGGGTTGGGATTTTTCTCTCAGTTTTGGGATTTTTCTCTCAAAGTTAGAATTTTCCCCTCAGGATTAGAATTTTTCCCCTCAGGATTGGGATTTTTCTCTCAGGATTGGGATTTTTCTCCTCAGGGTTGGGATTTTTCTCTCAATTTTGAGGTTTTTCCCTCAGGATTAGAATTTTCCCCTCAGGATTGGGATTTTTCCCTCCATTCTGGGGTTTCTCCCTCAGAATTAGAATTTTCCCCTCAGGATTGGGATTTTCCCCATCAGGATTGGGATTTTCCCTCAGGATTGGGATTTTCCCCATCAGGATTAGAATTTCTCCCCTCGGGGTTTGGATTTTTCCCTCCATTTTGAGATTTTTTTTCCCTCAGGATTAGAATTTTCTCCTCAGGATTAGAATTTTCCCCTCAGAATTCAGATTTTTTCCTTTAGGATAGGGATTTTCTCTCAGGGTTGGGATTTTCCTCTCAGGGTTGGGATTTTTCCCCTCGGGGTTGGGATTTTTCTCTTAATTTTGGCTTTTTTCCCTTCGAATTAGAATTTTTCCCCTCAGGGTTGGGTTTTTTCCTCTCAGCATTGGGATTTTTCTCTCAATTTGGGATTTTTCCCACAGAATTAAATATTTCCCTCAGGATTGGGATTTTCTCCTTCAGGATTAGAATTTTTCCCCTCAACATTGGAATTTTCCCCATCAGCATTAGAATTTTTCTCTCAGGATCGGGATTTTCTCCCTCAAGATTGGGATTTTTCCTTCAGAATTAGAATTTTTCTGTCAGGATTGGGATTTTCCCCCTCAGGATTAGAATTTCTCTCCTCAGGGTTGGGATTTCTCCCCTCAGGGTTGGGATTTTCCTCTCCATTTTGGGGTTTTTCTCCTCAGAATTAGATTTTTTCCCCCTCAGGATTTGGATTTTCCCCTCAGAATTGGGATTTTTCCCCTCAGAATTGGGATTTTCCTTCAACTTTGGAACTTTTCCCCTCAGAATTGGAATTTTCCCCTCAGGGTTTGGATTTTTCCCTCAGAATTAGAATTTTTTCCCCTTCAAAATTGTGATTTTTCCCTTCAAGGATTGGTATCTCACTTCTTCCATATTTTTTTATCCTCAATTTGTGCCAAAGGAAATCTCCAAATCCTGAAGTTTTTCCCTCTAAAAATCCTAGGGAATAAACTCCCTTTAAAAAATGATTCCTGAAATTCCTCCTGGTGAGGGAAAATCCCTCAGGGATTTGTGGGAATGCTGAGGTTCAAATCCACCTTTTTAGCTTTTCCCTAGATTTGAGAATAAAAATTCAGGAATTTTTGTGCTGCTTTATCACTTCAGGGTTTGATTCCTGGGATTTTCCTGGAAATGGCTGAGTTTAAAAGCCCTGAAATGCCAAAAATAAGGAAAATTCATGGAGAAATCTGGGATAAATCCTGGATTTTAGGGATAGGGTGTGAGGTTTATAGGGAAATAACCGGATTTTAGGGGTAGGGAATGGGATTTGTAAGGAATGGTTGGATTTTAGGGATAAGGAATGGTTGGATTTTAGGGAATGGGGATTTTGTTAGGAATTATTTGATTTCAAGGAGCTGCTGCTGCTCCCTCCATCCCAAATCCACCCCAAATCCATCCCAGATCCACCCCAAATCCACCCCAAATCCATCCCAAATCCATCCCAGATCCACCCCAAATCCATCCCAAATCCATCCCAAATCCATCCCAAATCCTCCCAAATCCACCCCAAATCCACCCCAGATCCATCCCAGATCCATCCCAGATCCATCCCAGATCCATCCCAAATCCACCCCAGATCCACCCCAGATCCATCCCAAATCCACCCCAAATCCATCCCAAATCCATCCCAAATCCATCCCAAATCCACCCCAAATCCATCCCAGATCCATCCCAAATCCATCCCAAATCCACCCCAAATCCATCCCAAATCCACCCCAAATCCACCCCAAATCCACCCCAAATCCATCCCAAATCCATCCCAAATCCACCCCAAATCCACCCCAAATCCACCCCAAATCCATCCCAAATCCATCCCAAATCCATCCAGGATCCATCCCAAATCCACCCCAAATCCATCCCAAATCCACCCCAAATCCACCCCAAATCCACCCCAAATCCATCCCAAATCCATCCCAAATCCACCCAAATCCACCCCAAATCCATCCCAAATCCACCCCAAATCCACCCCAGATCCATCCCAAATCCACCCCAAATCCACCCCAAATCCACCCCAAATCCACCCCAAATCCACCCCAAATCCATCCCAAATCCACCCCAAATCCACCCCAAATCCATCCCAAATCCACCCCAAATCCATCCCAAATCCACCCCAAATCCATCCCAAATCCACCCCAAATCCATCCCGCTCCAAACCCCGGTGGTTCTGAAGGAGCAATGACCATTTACTGTTGGAATTCCCATCCTGGGAATCGGGATTGGGAACGATTCCCTGGAATTCTCCCTTCCCTCTGCCTCCTTTGGGGTGATGGGATGCGGGAATCCCGCTCGGATCCCTCTGGAATCGGAAAATCCTGACCTTGGGTTTTGTTTTCCAGGCTGAAAGCGGGAAAAGGGAAGCGAAGACAGAGGACGGGAGCAGAGGAAGGTACGGCCCGCGAGGATTTTGGGGGGAAATTCTTGGGAATTTTTATCCCTTTCTTTTCCCTCTTGGAATTTTTATCCACAATCAGGGATTGCTGAGCCTCCCTCCAGCTTTGTCCTGCTGCTCCTCCTTCCCAATCCGTGCGCCGCGGAGCCAAAATATTCGGGATTTATTAAAAAAAAAATCATGGAAAAACGGGGTGAAATCCCAATTCTTGTGGAGTTTCCCTCGGTTTTATCCCCTGCTCATGTCCTGGCTCCTCCTGTTGCTTTTATTCCATCCTGCAGCTCTTCCCTCTATCCCTGCCTCTGGAATTCCTCTTCCCAACTACCGAATTCCCGGAAAATTTTAGGAATTTTTTGTTAAATATGGCTTCAATCCCTTTTTTTCTGTGATTCCAACTCGGATTTCTGGATGAGTTTTGTCGTGAAAAAAACCCAAAATTGTCTAAGGGTGATCCTGAAATTTAAGGAATTCCGTTATGGAAAAGCTCTGTATTCCCACATCCCTTTTTTTTTCCTCATTATTCCATGAAACTGCAGAGTTTTGGGAGCGTTAATTCCCAAATTAATGGGAGTTTCTTCCTCAATTCTTGATTTCAGACAAGTGGAATTAAAAAATTAAAATTAAGACTAAAACTAAGATCAAAATTAAAATCAAAATTAAAACTAAGATCAAAATTAAAATTCAAATTAAAACTAAGATCAAAATTAAAATTAAAACTAAGATTAAAATTAAAATTAAAACTAAGATTAAAATTAAAAAATTTAAATTAAAATTTAAATTTAAATTAGAAAGTGACTTTTCCATGATTCCCAAAAGTTGGAAAATTGACATTTTTCCTTGCCTCACACATTTTCCACACAATTATTTTATTCCATTTTTTTGGGAGGCAGAAAACATGGGAATTACGATTTTAATTATTAACTATTAATAATTTATCTGATGCTTTAATTAATTAAACTCCATCCCTGGGCTCTGCCTTTCTTTCCCAGGCTGCATTTTCCATGAATCCCTGGGATGAATTTTCCATGAATCCCAGGAGTTTTCCATGAATCCCTGGGATGAATTTTCCATGGATCCCAGGAGTTTTCCATGAATCCCTGGGGTGAATTTTCCATGAATCCCTGGAGTTTTCCATGAATTCCTGGAGTGAATTTTCCATGGATCCCAGGAGTTTTCCATTAATTATTTCAGGAATTTTCCATGAATTCTTGGAGTGAATTTTCCATGAATCCCAGGAGTTTTCCATGAATCCTTGGGGTGAATTTTCCATGGATCCCAGGAATTTTCCATGAATTCTTGGAGTGAATTTTCCATGGGATCCCAGGAATTTTCCATGAATTCTTGGAGTGAATTTTCCATGGATCCCAGGAGTTTTCCATGAATTATTTTAGTGAATTTTCCATGAATCCCTGGGGTGAATTTTCCATGAATCCCAGGAATTTTCCATGAATCCCAGGAGTTTTCCATGAATTCTTGGGGTGAATTTTCCATGAATCCCTGGGGTGAATTTTCCATGAATCCCAGGAGTTTTCCATGAATCCCTGGAGTGAATTTTCCATGAATCCCAGGAGTTTTCCATGAATTTTCGGGCTGAATTTCCCATGAATCCCAGTGGAAAACAAAACACACTGAGCACAGCCAGAAATGTTGAACTGATGGGAAAATCCCTTTGGATTTTTGGATTCGGATTTTTGGATTCGGATTTTTGGATTCGGATTTTTGGATTTGGATCCCGATTTTTTTTTTTTCCAGGTTTTGGAGGAGAAATTCCCTGCTGGAATTCTGCTGGAATGGCTTTTCCCTAATTCCAGAACTTCCCAAGCTCATCCTGCGGGATTCTTCCCTTCAGGGAAAACCTCTGAAATTCCCTGGAAAACTCCATCCCTCACACCTCAAGGGGGGGGATGGAAAACAGGGATTTGAAACCCAACCCAAAAACTGATCCCAAATCCAAAGCTGGGATTTGGGGATTTGGGATCCAAATCCAATCTCTGGGGATTGGGAAGCGCAGACAGAGCAAATTCCCTTATCCAGGAGCTTCCTTTGGGTTGGATATTCCCATTTTTCCCTCGATGGGATGGGAATTTTCCGAATCCTGAGGCCTCCAAAACGTGAATTATTCACTTTTATTTGTCACCTTTTCCCACAGAATTCCCAATCCCGTTTCTTGACGCTCCAGGCAAATCCATCCGGAGCTTTCTGGGAATTCTGGAATTCTCTGCCCCCCATCCATCCATTTGATTTCTTCTGTTTCTTTGGAATGTTTTTAGCTCGGGCTTGAAAAAAATTCCAGAGGTGCGAAAACCAGCCGGGAATCCGTCGGGAGAGGCCAGGAAAGGGCAAATCCCCACCCCAAACGTGCCGGAGGAGATTGCAGCGGGAGAGCCGGAGATTCCCGAGTCTCAGGCGGGAGGAGCGGCGAGGGAGGACGCGGAGGGATGGGATCCTGGAACGGGAATTCCCACGGATCCCGCCGGCGGGAAATCGCCCGCAGCGAGGTCGGAGGAGAAGCCGGCGCCGCTTTGCGGGGATGGGAAGGAAGAGGCTCGGGATGAGCCGGAGCTGGAAGCGCGGAAGGAGGATGAGGAGCTCTCTGTTCCCGCCGTGGAAGCTCCGGAATCGTCCGGCAAGGCGATCCCGGCTGCCGGAGAAACGCCGGGAGCCGTCCCCGGAACGTCCCCGCGCTCGGACGAGGCTCCCGCGGCATCGCCCGGCGCCGAGCCGGACGCTCCGGAAAAAATTCCCGTTCCCGAGGCCGGGAAAAGCAACCGTGAAACGTCCACGGAGAGGAAATGCATCCCAAAAACTCCGGATGCTCCGGGGAAAAAATGGGATGTGGCTGGAGCAGAGAGAGAGGGGACGGCGGAGGAATCGCTGCTGAAAATGGGGGAAAATCCGGGGAAAACTTGGAGCAAGGCTGGGACAGAGGTGGAGAAAACACCTGGAAAAACGTTATCCAAGGGTGGGGAAAACTCTGGGAATGCTGCGGGTGAGATCCCCGCGGGAAGTTGGGTTAAAATCCCACAGAATAAAGGGACGGGAGCGGCGAAATCCGAGGAAAACCGCGCGGCGGCTCCGGGAAATCCCGGTGCTTCCCTGAAGGAATCGTGTCCTGGGAAACCCCTTCTGAAGGCGGTGGTGTCCATCCCGGATATCCTGAAGCAGAGAATTCCCGTCAGGATCACCGAGCCTTCCCTGGGAAAAGCTGGAGAGCAAAAAATCCCTCCCAGGACGGGACCGGAGAAGAAAATCCCAGCCAAAGCCGCGGCTCAGCCGGGAGCTGGGAACGGCCAATGGAAAGGGAACGGAAATTCCGGAGGGGATGCGCAGGGAGAGAGCGGGAAGAGCTCATCCCAACAGGAAAAGGATTCCCAGCTGGAATCTCGGGCGAGCTCCAAGCAGAGCCAGCTGGGAGAGAGCGGAACGTGCGGCACGAGGGAAGATCCCGGCGGGAATCAGGTGAGGAGGGCGGGAATGCCGCTGTTCCCTGGGATTCTCCCGCTCTGCTTTTCCGGGATCGTCCCTTTCCCTTTTCCATAAATCCCGCCAGAGGAGCCGCAGGGCAACCCGGTTCCTTTTAGCCGGGATCGGAAAATCCCATGGAAATTCTTTGGGAAGCGAATCCAAACGGAATTCCTTGGAGCAGCTTCCAGTGGGAGCTGGAATTTGCTTTTCCAAAGCCTGAAGGGATGGAAAAGAGGCTCGGGGACATCCCGGAGCAGCTCCTCGATCCCAGCAAAGCCGTGCTCGCTGAGGATTGGGATTTCCTGGGATTTCATGGAATTTCTTTGTCCCGTTCTGCAGGCTCCTGGCAGGGGCGGTGCTGCGGCCTGGAAAAGCGGCGCCGGCGGGGCTGGAAGGCAGAAGGAGGTAAGGATGGAAAAGCGTGGGATTAAAAAGATGGGAAAAGGCGTTTCTGACGTTCCCAGGGATGGGATTGGATGGGATTTAAAGCGTTTTCCAAAGCGTTCCAGGATTCCGTGCCATTCCTGCTCTCGGGAATCTCTCCCGCACTGGGATCGCCGTTCCCGCTCTTTTTCCATCCCCTCTCCGTGGATCCCGTGGGCTCTGGGATGCTGAATCCCTTCGGGATCATTTTCCCTTTGGATCCAAATTTTCAGGCTCACGGAGCCGGGACCACCGGGAAACTCCATCCTCAAATCCCGGATTCCCAGCTGGTGTTAAATATCCATGGAAATGTGAGGGTAGGACGGAATATTTTGGCAGAAAAAGTAACAAAAATTGGGAATTATTGATGGAAGAAATCGTTTGGGGTGGGGTATCCATTCCTTTGGAACCACAACTTTGAATTGGCAGGAATTATATCCGTGGAATTTTATCCATGGAAATTTTTCCATTCGATTTTACCCATGGAATTTTATCCGTTGATTTTTATCGGCTGAATTTCATCCATTGAATTTTATCCATTTGGAATTTCATCCACTGAATTTTATCCCTTTTAATTTTATCCACTAAATTTTATTAATTGGTCTTTATCCACTGAATTTCATCCTTGGAATTTCATCCTTTGAATTTCATCCTTGGAATTTCATCCTTGGAATTTCATCCTTGGAATTTTATCCATAGAATTTAATCCACTGAATTTTATCCAGAGAATTTCATCTTAATTTCATCCATTGAATTTATCCATGGAATTTCATCCACTGAATTTTATCCATGGAATTTTATCCACTGAATTTTATCCAGAAAATTTCATCTGAATTTCATCCTTTGAATTTATCCATGGAATTTCATCCATTTAATTTTATCCATTGATCTTTATCTATAGAATTTCATCTGAATTTCATCCATGGAATTTTATCCAGAGAATTTTATCCAGAGAATTTTATCCAGAGAATTTCATCTGAATTTCACCCAGATAATTTTATCCATTGATCTTTATCCACTGAATTTTATCCATGGAATTTTATCCCTTTAGTTTTATCCACTAAATTTTATTAAATGGTTTTTATCCACTGAATTTCATCCTTGGAATTTTATCCACTGAATTTTATCCATTGAATTTTATCCATTGAATTTTATCCATTGACCTTTACTCACTGAATTTTATCTTTTTAATTTTATCCACTAAATTTTATTAATTGGTCTTTATCCACTGAATTTCATCCTTGGAATTTCATCCACTGAATTTAATCCATGGAATTTTATCCATTGAATTTTATCCACTGACCTTTATCCACTGAATTTTATCCCTTTTAATTTTATCCACTCAATTTTATGGATTGGTTTTTATCCACTGAATTTCATCCATGGAATTTTATCCACTGAATTTTATCCAGAAAATTTCATCTGAATTTCATCCTTTGAATTTATCCATGGAATTTCATCCATTTAATTTTATCCATTGATCTTTATCTATAGAATTTCATCTGAATTTCATCCATGGAATTTTATCCATTGAATTTTATCCACTAAATTTTATTGATTAGTTTTTATCCACTGAATTTCATCCATGGAATTTTATCCAGAGAATTTCATCTGAATTTTATCCATTGAATTTTATCCATTGACCTTTACCCACTGAATTTTATCTTTTTCATTTTATCCACTAAATTTTATTAAATGGTTTTTATCCACTGAATTTCATCCTTGGAATTTCATCCTTGGAATTTTATCCATAGAATTTCATCCACTGAATTTTATCCAGAAAATTTTATCCCTTTAATTTTATCCACTAAATTTTATTAATTGGTTTTTGTCCACTGAATTTTATCCCCTGAATTTTATCCAGAGAATTTCATCTGAATTTCATCCTTTGAATTTATCCATGGAATTTCATCCATTTAATTTTATCCATTGATCTTTATCTATAGAATTTCATCTGAATTTCATCCATGGAATTTTATCCACTAAATTTTATTAATTGGTCTTTATCCACTGAATTTCATCCTTGGAATTTCATCCACTGAATTTAATCCACTGAATTTCATCCATGGAATTTTATCCATTGAATTTTATCCACTGACCTTTATCCACTGAATTTTATCCCTTTTAATTTTATCCACTCAATTTTATGGATTGGTTTTTATCCACTGAATTTTATCTATGGAATTTTATCCACTGAATTTTATCCATTGAATTTTATCCATTGAATTTTATCCATTGACCTTTACTCACTGAATTTTATCTTTTTAATTTTATCCACTAAATTTTATTAATTGGTCTTTATCCACTGAATTTCATCCTTGGAATTTCATCCACTGAATTTAATCCACTGAATTTCATCCATGGAATTTTATCCATTGAATTTTATCCACTGAATTTCATCCTTGGAATTTCATCCTTGGAATTTTATCCATAGAATTTAATCCACTGAATTTTATCCAGAGAATTTCATCTTAATTTCATCCATTGAATTTATCCATGGAATTTCATCCATTTAATTTTATCCATTGATCTTCATCTATAGAATTTCATCTGAATTTCATCCATGGAATTTTATCCATTGAATTTTATCCAGAGAATTTTATCCAGAGAATTTTATCCAGAGAATTTCATCTGAATTTTATCCATTGAATTTTATCCATTGACCTTTACCCACTGAATTTTATCTTTTTCATTTTATCCACTAAATTTTATTAAATGGTTTTTATCCACTGAATTTCATCCTTGGAATTTCATCCTTGGAATTTTATCCATAGAATTTCATCCACTGAATTTTATCCAGAAAATTTTATCCCTTTAATTTTATCCACTAAATTTTATTAATTGGTTTTTGTCCACTGAATTTTATCCCCTGAATTTTATCCAGAGAATTTCATCTGAATTTCATCCATTGAATTTTATCCATTGAATTTATCCAGAGAATTTCATCCACTGAATTTTATCCATGGAATTTTATCCACTAAATTTTATTAATTGGTCTTTATCCACTGAATTTCATCCTTGGAATTTCATCCACTGAATTTAATCCACTGAATTTCATCCATGGAATTTTATCCATTGAATTTTATCCACTGAATTTCATCCTTGGAATTTCATCCTTGGAATTTTATCCATAGAATTTAATCCACTGAATTTTATCCAGAGAATTTCATCTTAATTTCATCCATTGAATTTATCCATGGAATTTCATCCACTGAATTTTATCCATGGAATTTTATCCACTAAATTTTATTAATTGGTCTTTATCCACTGAATTTCATCCTTGGAATTTCATCCACTGAATTTTATCCATAGAATTTAATCCACTGAATTTTATCCAGAGAATTTCATCTTAATTTCATCCATTGAATTTATCCATGGAATTTCATCCACTGAATTTTATCCAGAAAATTTTATCCCTTTAATTTTATCCACTAAATTTTATTAATTGGTTTTTGTCCACTGAATTTTATCCCCTGAATTTTATCCAGAGAATTTCATCTGAATTTCATCCATTGAATTTTATCCATTGACCTTTATCCAGAGAATTTTATCCACTGAATTTTATCCATGGAATTTTATCCATAGAATTTCATCTGAATTTCATCCGTGGAATTTTATCTATGGAATTTTATCCATTGACCTTTATTCATGGAATTTTATCCACTGAATTTCATCCATGGAATTTTATCCACTGAATTTCATCCATGGAATTTTATCCATTGACCTTTATCCATGGAATTTTATCAACTGAATTTTATGCAGAGAATTTTATCCAGAGAATTTCATCTGACTTTCATCTGAATTTTATTCATTGAATTTTATCCATGGAATTTCATCTGAATTTAATCCATGGAATTTTATCCATTGAATTTTTTCCATGGTATTTTATCCATTGAATTTTATCCACTGAATTTTATCCATGGAATTTTATCCATTGACCTTTATCCACTGAATTTCATCCATGGAATTTTATCCATTGAATTTTTTCCATGGAATTTTATCCATTGAATTTTATCCATGGAATTTTATCCATGGAATTTTATCCATTGACCTTTATCCATGGAATTTTATCCACTGAATTTTATCCATGGAATTTTATCCATTAACCTTTATCCATGGAATTTTATCCACTGAATTTCATCCATGGAATTTTATCTGCCCAATTCCATCCGTTGAGATTTACCCGTTGAATTTTATCCCTGGAATTTTCCCTATGGAATTTTATCCCCAATCGACCCGCTGCGATTTTCCCAAAGGATTTTTCCCACCTGCACAAAACCCGAGCTGAATTAAATTAAACTTCATTAAACTAATTAATCACTCAGCACAACGCTGCCGTTTCGACCCCCAAC